TGTGTTGAAAATTTGTTAGAAGTGCTGTAATAAATATTACTCCATTATTCTTTGTGTTTTTCAGTTTGCAATGAAAACGGTGAAATTTCCTCACATATGTACTATTGATTCGAGAATTTTTCGCTTAATTTTTTTAGCAAATTAAGGGCATATTGTTATTTGGAGGAATGATGAATTGTACCGGTGGTAGCACTTGTAATTACTGGTTTTTCCTGGGCAAAGAGCGCCTCTCTGCTGCTGAAGATCTCTCGAGTTCGAATATACTTGTATCTCTACGATTTGTTCATTCAGTTTTGATACTAATTGTTACTGACGTGTATTAGAGAGTAGAGCAGACCCTTATCGACCAGCCCCAGTGGAAACTGTCAACAGTCTCAGGGTCTAAAGCTAAAGCTGAAGAAAACCCTCCCCGCCCACCTTGCCGCCTTCGCCTCCAGGAGACCCACTCTTTGCCCGTCATTGTCGCACCAGTAGACTACTTCCCCATCTCCTTCCCTCCACCCTCCCTTCCCTCTGCTATCCTCCTAGGAGGCTTTCTCGGATCTGCCTAAGGACTCCCACAAATGTTGAAAGTGGTTGGGTTGTGGGTCTTTGTGCAGGATTTTCTCGCAGAGGTTGATGGGATGTGCTTAGGCCAAATCTGTACAGTTGGGGACAGCCACATCGTAAAATTTACACTCTTTCTTTTATGCTCTTCGCTATTTGCATAAAAGTAGGGCAGTATTTGCCTTTTCCGTTGGTGACACTTGCTATAATGAGCATTTTTTTAAACTTGAGGGGGTAAGAGGGTCTTTGCCGGGACTTATATGCATGCTTGTAATCAGTTGAGGGTTTTTTCAGTGATTGTTTTTTCATAATCGAAAAGAAATTGATTGATGTTTTCATCCGAGGAACCAGAGCGGAAACGAAGCAGGCCTAGTGTCGATGACCCGGAACAAGAGGATGACGATGAACCGGTGCAAGAGCTACCGAAGGGTTGGGAAAAACGTATGAGCCGCTCAAGTAGTAAGTTCATTTGCATTTTTGCTGTACAGCACCATTGCCCTGTTACAGTAAGTAAAAACCCATATTGGCAAGGTGCTGTCTGTTTGTACGTTTGTGTATATGTGTGTCTGTGCTTGTATCTGTATTTGTAAAAAAAAAAAGAAAAAAATACAAAAACGCATATTGTGGCGACCCATTGTGACTGTGTATGGGTAGGTGTGTGTGTGTGTGTGGGCGTGTGTGTATGTGTGTGGGTGGGTGTGTGTGTGTATGAGTGTGTGTGTGTCGGTCCGGATAGTAGCTTCCTGAATTGTTGATGTAAGTGTCTAAAGGCTACATCCATGTAAAATTATTTTTTTCCTCTTTACGCAGATCGCTTTTATTATTTCAACGTGTATACTGGACGAAGTCAGTGGGCGCGCCCCACGAAGCCAGCTGTGCCGTCTGTACTTCAGGTCAGTTTTGTAAACCTCATACACAACATTATTGCATTTTTTGCCTGCTTGGCGTTTTTGGCTTTTAAGCAAATTTGGCGTTTTGGGTTATAGGATTATTTTTTACTTTTTGTCTTTTAAATTTTTCTTGGTAAGCATTTTTTCCCGAAAACTTTGCTTATTCTGGACAAAAAAATTGCTTTTGACAATATTTTGCTCAGGTTCGTTGTGCTCATCTTTTGGTGAAACACGTCGGATCGCGTCGACCAGCTTCTTGGCGCTCAGACACTATCACTCGGTCGAAGGAAGATGCAAAAAGAATTTTAATCGGTTTAAAAAATTCTTCGATCTTTTCGACTTTTTTTTTGGTTTTGCGCCAGTTCCGGACCGTTTGTGAAGCCCTCCTAAATTTGTAATTATTCCCGCTGGCTTGTCATATTTTGTTATTTTTTAGTATTTGCAAGCTTCTTATTCTCTATTTTGAATTTTCGATTTGATTTTGAAGGCTATATAATTCTCTGAAAATATTTAAAACAAATTCAGAAGTTTTTGAAAACCGGAGGATAATTTGGAAATTTATATTTTCTGCATTCACTGCACATTTTTCATTATTTTTACGAATGAAAATCTAGGCTTGCATCAGAAAACTAAGGTACTTATTCACCTTTGCTATTTTTTCAGCGTTTCAGTCGTCCCTCCATACGTATTTTTGACCGTCGCAATGGTTTTTTTTCCTAAAAACCCGTTTTAAACAGGGGGAATAAAAAAATGCTGTATTTTATAGGAAGTTTACAAAATGAAATGAGATGGAATGGAGGGGAGGAGGGAGGAAAAAACAATACAATTGTAACTGGAATGAAATTGTAGTGAAGGAACTCTTCGACCCAAATGGACCAAGTTTAGGATCGTGCAACATCCGTTACTAAAAGAGCTGAGATTTGAAGCGGGCAGAATCGAAAGGATTTAAGAAAAGTGAGGGAGAGAGAAGATTGTTAATCAGCAAATGTATTAAAGGAAAGCTTTCTTAACATACCGCCTTTTTTGCGAAACTTCAGAATTTTTAGTTTATTTTTTGCTTAATCATGAACCGGAGAGTTTTCTTTTTGTTTTTAGGTTACAAAAAACAGATTGAGGAGGCACCAGACAAACAGCTAAAAATGAAGACTTTGGCTAAAGAATTTAGCGATTGCTCATCGGCAAAACGTGGTGGTGATTTGGGCTTCATCAAACGCAGGCAAATGCAGAAGGCCTTCGAAGATGCAGCTTTCAGTCTTGAAGTAAGAATTGCTATTTTAATTTAATGCTTTTTTCAAAAAAGTGTTAAAATAAAGAGTTTCTTTTTTATCGCAGAAAAATAAGATGATTTCTGGGAATCAGTTAACCTAAAAATAAATTTAAGCTGAAGATTGGATTTTGAATAAAACTTTTATGTATTTTTTTTTAGGTTGGTCAGCTAAGCGATATTGTGGATACCGAATCGGGCTTACATCTGATTTATAGAATTGAGTGATGCACAAGCGGAATCTTCGCTCGTCCTTTAAAAAAATTAGTTTCTGTTATTATGTGAATATAACTCTTCGCCACCGGTTTGTCTAAAAATTTTTTAGACTTTGCTGATTTTCTTGCTTTGACGAAAATTTGTATGGAATATACCTTTATTTTTCATTGCAGCAAGGAGACTGTCCACCACCGGTTTATCTAAAAGTTTCTTATTTTGACGAAAATTGAAATCGAATATGTCTTTATTTTTCATAGTAGCAGGAGGCGAAATGGCGAAGGAGGGGAGGGGAGAGAGGGAGGGTGTGGAGAGGAAATAAGTCATAATTTGCTCAAAAGCATATTTTCTTGTTCTTATGCTCAAGAAATTATTTCGCACGCTTCTGGCTGTTATACTTGTGCACAAACGTGAATCGTTTCTTCATTCGGTTTCTTGTTTTTCGATTAGGTCTCAAAAAAGCCAACGAATTTCGAGTCGCCTGGATTCTTGATCTCTCGTACTCAGGAAAAGCCGCGAAACGAAATATTGGACTTGCAACTTCTGTTCATATTAAAACAAATCGAAAATTTTTGCCTAAAATATGGCTGTGGTTTTTACCCCCAAAAAAAATCGCTTTTTTCTGTCCAGTGTGCTTTTATATGATTTATGATTTTTTTTTTGAAAATATAATTTTATCTGTAGCTTTGTCTGCCACCAAATTATAGCTTAGTTTTTGTGATGAAATTGATTTGTTGTGCGATTTCATAGTTCGACAAATTTTGACGAAAATAAAATATTTTATTTTTTTAGAATTTTTTATTTTTAAAAAAAGACTGCGACTTTACAAGACAGTGTTTCCGCTACTAGGAATCATGTAGTAAAATTGGTATTGTTGCTGTTCGATTTATACAGTCCTTTCGGCTATAAACCGGTACAGGCGCAAACCAAAGCGACGAAACCATCATCAGCTTGCTTCTAAAAACACTCCCAAGAATGGCAAATTTTCATAATTCTGCTTCGAGTGACTTAAGCTTGGATCTCTTTGGCTGCTCCTACCCTCTTATGAAGGATGAGCACGGAGGGAGTTTTTAAATTTTGATAAACTTTCCAGC